CGCTGATAGAGCCCTGGCGAGCATGAGTTTAGGGTTCTAGGGTCTCGGATTTGTTTAGGGTTTAAAGTTTAGAGGGTCCAAAAAGATGCCTGTGTTTCAGCTTTCCCCTTTGCTGCACAGTACGGCAGGGCCCTACTCCCGGCATTCAGGAAGCCCCGGTGTTTGGCGCGTGCATATACCCAGGGAGGCAAGAATGGTGTATTCATAGGGAGGATAGGTACCCCCAAAAAACGATTGTGTACACATAGGTCTCTGGGTATGGTGTTGGACCTTAATTACCAGGGCTGAGGGCTTGTTAAACCGGTTGAGACATCCAGCCGACATGCGCACGCTGCTGCAGCTTCCTGCGCTGCCTCGTCACTCTTTCCTAAACCTAAACCCTAATAAACCTTAAACCCAGTTCACGCCGCGCTCCCCAAATCCCCCCCCCCCCTGACCGCAGTAGCTTTCAAGAGCCTGAGCAGGAAAGGGGGTCTAACTTTCAGCTGCTACGCTGAGATCCCTGGTACGGCTAGCTGCCAGCCAGGTTTTAGAAGCTATGTGTCGCTGTGCCGATGCACACCAAGTTTACGGTTTACGATGTAGGCTTTTAGAGGATTACGGAAAGTTGCCAGCTTAACTATAGACTTCTGGTCTCGTTCGCCCGAGGTGATCAGAGGTACGAACGTATGCAGTACGCATTCTACAAGAATTCCGTCAAGTGTTTGAGCAGCAGGGGGAAGACCTTCGTATGCTTCTGACCTGATAAGCAGTACCTTAGGGACCAATTGAACCCTAAAAGGGTTCATGGCTCACATACCTTTAATGAGTCGTTTTGGGTAGATGATCCCCCCCCAAAAAAAAAACAAAAACTCTTTGGGGTTCATGTGGTACCCTAAACCCTAAACCCTGTTTCCTAAGATCCCAGACCCTAAACCCTAAACCCCAAACCCCAAGGGTCGTTTCCTGGCGCCAACATGGCCCGCCAGCCAAGGCGGCATATATCCAGCGCACCACCCCAAGCTCAGCTCAACGAGCCTTAGATGGCAAGTGCTTCATTTTGGACTTCGGGGGTCCTTGGAAGTAGTTTTTTGATCAGCTAAAAGGACAGTTTTTGCAAGGGTGTTAAGTTCAGTAGAATGGAGATGTTTCTGCATGATGCTGCCGTTTATTCCTACTATAGTTATGCGGAGCCCTAATTTAGGTTACCCAGGGCCTACCGTGTAGAGAGCTGGCCACGTGGCTGCAGCCACAGACACGAGATCGCATCCCAAAAGCTTCTGTGAAGAAAACCCTAAACCCTAAACCCTAAACCCCAAACCCTAAACCCTAAACCCTAAACCCTAAACCCCCCCCCCCCCACCCCATAAGCCTGACAAAAAGGAGCGGCATGCCCAGCGGCCACGCGCAGACCAGTACGCTGCTGGGGACCATCTTCACTTGCCTCTTGGCTTCGGGAGTCAGGGTTTAGGGTTTAGGGTTTAGGGTTCAGGGTTTAGGGTTGCTCAGTTGAGCTTTAAGTTGTGGGGCCTCCGTCTTTTTGGCTCCTAAGCCCTAAGCCCTAAGCCCTAAGCCCTAAGCCCTCAGCCCTCAGCCCTCAGCCCTAAGCCCTAAGCCCTAAGCCCTAAGCCCTAAGCCTGGCTGTTCATTCATGATGCCCTTGGAAGGATTTCTGAAGAGTGAGTCTGGGTTCAGGTTTGCAGGACTGGTAAGTCTCTAGGAGATCCTCTCAGTTGCATGACTCATCATCTTCCCACCCACTTGACACAACCAGATATGGATGGCTAGACAGCCCTTTTGTGTTCATGAAGGGCTTAGGGGGTTGGGGATGTAGGGGTTAGGGGTTAGGGCCTGGAGTTTGCCAAGCTACTATGAAACATCGTGGAAACTTCTTAAAAAGATCTTGCCGAAGCCAATGCAAGGGCTGTGAATGAACAGCAGCAATAGTGGTGCGCCAGAATGAGTGACTTTGGGAAGTTCCAGCGTGTGGCCATCATGATTCCTGAAACAAGATCCTTGGTATCTATACAGTATACTCCTTCACCATGCCTCGTGTTCAGGGGTTCTTTGGGGTTCGCCTCGTAGGTCCGTTTCAAGGGCACAAGGACTAGTTGGCTGCTGCCCTGGCACCACACCAGGCCACATTTTGGAACTCGGACCCGTGGGAGATTCCGAAGTCGAGACCTGCCTGTGTTTCGGAAGAGCTCAGGGTTTTGTGGGCAAGGGCTTGAGGGTACTAGCGGGGGCTACTGGTTTCTGCATACTGAAGTCTGTGCAGCGGCTACTTCGGGGATGGGCTCCTTCTTGCCAAGATGCTGCAAGGATATCATCAATTCTGGCTCACTGCTTAATGCGGGTGCCCTTGCTATGCTGAGAGTTTGCAACGGGGTCGTGTTTCTTTGGGGCTTCCTGCGGAGCAGGCTTCCCGGTGTCAGTTAGTTACCCTAAACCCTAAACCCTAAACCCGAAACCCTAAACCCTAAACCCTAAACCGTCCATGTCTCGTTCCGTCAGCTGCATAGGTCGGCGTGAACGCGCAGGTGTCGGCTCATGCAGCTTGCGCCATTGCGTATGTGTGGATGCTCGGCTGAATCTGAAGACAGCTGCGTTCCCTAAACCCTAAACCCTAAACCCACGTGGGCTCAATTTCCTCTAAGCAAGAAGCACTGCGACCTTCAGGTGACAGTCCCAAGCATAAAGCGGATTCTTGGGGAGACCTTTTTTGCAGACACTGTAGTTCTCTAAATGCGGGTGGGTCCTATATACTGTGGTACGGCACCATTAAGGAGCCCCCAAAATGGACCCTAATTCAGTACCCGCTGAAACCGCATCTTGGTGCTAGAATTTGTTGATTTAGACCAGCGAAACCCGAAACCCTAAACCTGAAACCCTAAACCCTAAACCCTCTTTCCTCTGAGCTGTAGCTGTTTTCCTGATTGGGGATCTCCCTACTTGGTGAGTGCATATGCCAGATACCCTGCGATGCAAGAAACCCTAAACCCTAAACCCTAAACCCTAAACCCTAAACCCTAAACCCTAAACCCTAAACCCGAATTTGAGTTGCAAGCCCAGAAGTGAAACAAAGGCTACTGGCCATCGCTGCCTCTTGGCTGTGCGATGGGACGGTGCCTTCTCACTGCGACAGAGGGCCTAGGGGTTTAGGGTTTTAGGGTTGGGGGTTTAGGGTTTATTTCCCTACAGTTAAATAGTAAATACTCTTAATTAGTAGGTATAACCTATTAAACCGTAGGTAAAGAGAGTCCCAGAGAAACCCTGTCTACAGTTTAGGGGTTTAGGGTTTAGGATGCAAACGGGTTCAGGGGTGTCGGGCGGCAACGGACTCGCCCAATCCGTAGCAAGTCAAATTTCAGTTCGAGACTCCTCTCGGTGCATCCTGACACATGACTCATAGCCACCTCAGCAGTTCGTACACCTTGGCCCTCAAGTCGTGAGATGCTAGCAGGATGGCGCATTTCGGTCGTTTCACGGTTCCTCGCAACCAGCACGCCACAAGTTCACAAGATCTTCTACCCTTGAGAACCTTCATCACTGCAATTGAAGCAGCTCTATGTTGCAGATGACCCCGCCCCCCCACCGCCGTGCCTAGCTGCCAACATCGACTCGTAATTTCAACCTTCCCATGGCCTCAGACCCTGTCACTATTAGATGAAGAACCCCCACCCAAGAAACAAAAAAGTAGTCCCTGTATAATCCTTGTAAGGAAGATCTATATATATATATATTATTTATTTATTTATTTAGATTCTTTTTTTTTGTGTGTGTGTGTGTGTGTGTTTTTTTTGTTGTTTTTTTTGGGGGGGGGGTTCTTAAGCAAATGCTGGATAAGGTCATTCTGTCCCGCACCCGCTTTGGTGGCCCACTTCGAGTGAACATCGGCGGCCGCAACGTGGCCCAGTCACCCGGAATCACTGGCACAAGGAGGGGTTTAGGGTTTAGGGTTTAGGGCTTAGGGTTTAGGGTTTAGGGTTTAGGGTCCTTATAACTCTACTTATAACTAGGGGGCCCCTCCTTGCAGGGGGGGAGAAAGACATTCGAGAGCTTGCGGCTCGAGGCATTAAAGTTCAGGGGCGGCGAGGGCAGAGTTTAGCCTAGGCCTAAACCCTAAACCCTAAGCCCTAAACCCTAAACCGTAAACCCTAAACCCTAAACTCTAAACCCTAAACCCTAAACTCTAAACCGAAACCCTATAAACCTACACCCTAAACCGCAGCCTTGCGACCCATGGCTCCTTCGTAGAATTGGGTCCCAGCTTCCTTTATCAGGCGCTTCCTAATCCATTAGTTGCAAGACTGACACGAGCCCCATGTGCTGGTACTAGGAACGGGGAGTGGTAGGGAGGGTTTAACCAATTCAAAAAAAGATTCAAACAAATCTTTTTCTATCCACATTTTTTTGGCTAGTGCTCCACCAGCCTCGTCAACATACGGCAGGTTCCCGATGTCAAGGTGCCTTTTCTGGGGAGGGGGTTCCCCTGCTTTCGGTGCCACAAGTCGTTCTGTGCGGGCAGCAGCATCGTGTACTGGCAGTAAGCGCACTAGTGAAACTCGGACCCAGAGAAGGCCCCTCTTCCCTTTGTTAGTGTTTTTTGGTTCCCTGATATGAGGCCCCCCTGTGACCAAGAAGGGCACCCTTTTCAAAAGCCCTGTTCCTAGGAGGTCCTAGCGGTAGTAGAACCTGGATTTTGGAGTACTATACGTTAATGCTTTGTTTTGTTCTGGGTTCCTATCATAGCTACTTCTACCTAAAAGGTATATACCTTTGTTTTCCAGGGTCTACTCCAAAGCAGGGTCACCAGACATCCCTTGCGCCAACCCAGGGTGGGGCAGCATTCCCTAGAATCCCTCGAGAAGGCCCTTCATGGGGTCATCTTGTGGGATCATAAGGCCCCAACAGCCCGTCCCGTTCCGCCCTAAACCCTAAACCCTAAACCCTAAACCCTAAACCCTAAACCCTAAACCCTAAACCCTAAACCCTAAACCCCCAAAAACAAAAGAACTCCCCCAGGCATACCTGCCTTCAAGTCGCCGTGGGTGCCGCGATCGGGGTCTGCCTCGGCATGGGAGCCTACTGGCCAGGGACTCAGGAGCTTCAAGGTATGTTTTGGGGTTTAGGGTTTACGGTTTAGGGCTAGGAATATTTCAGCCCAACATACATTCCCAAAAAGTGTGTGTGTGTAGTCCGCACATGCCTATGGGTAGTTCCACGAAGTGCAGAGTACCCATATATACAGATTCAGATACATATAAAGTATGCTCATTGTGTATTTGCCGCCCTAGGGGTTGGCTGGGAGCGTTAGGGTTTCGGGTTTAGGGTTTAGGGTTTAGGAATCTGGGTCGACAAAAGGGTTTAGGGATTTTGGAGCTCGGTTTTCAACGATCAAGGATGTGGGCTTTTGAGTCTGCTTTGGGGTTCTGGGCTTAGGCGGGTCTTGGGCTAAGAGCCTCTGGTGCGATCGACACCCTACTTCAGGGTAAAGGTTCACGGTTTAGGCCATAAACCCTAAACCTTAAACCCTAGGGTTTAGGGTCACCTAAATTCGGAACCCTACCATATGGCGAAAACAGGGGAACCCCAATATAGATCCCCAAGTAGCAGGACTCCCTGAGAACAATGATCTCAATGGGGTACCCCTAATTTCGGAAACCCACATGTGGTGCGAGCCTCCTGGCCATCCCTAAACCCTAAACCCTAAACCCTAATTCCTAAACCCTAAACCTCTCAGCCAGGTGCTATCTCCAGCGCAGTGGTTGCGGCCTCATCTCTTTCTTTGGGACGAGAGAGAAAGTGAGAAAGTGCATGAGACCTAACCCTAAACCCCAAACCCTAAACCCTAAACCCCAAACCCCAAACCCTAAACCCTAAACCCTAAACTAACTTCTTAAGTTTAAACCTCCATAGGGCTGGCCTGGGCTCGGGCGGTTACAGGCTCGTAGCGTTGAGGCGCGATCTCCCACAGTAGGACGGGCGCCAAGCCAAATGTGATCGAAGCCCTTAGATTCAGGGTAGGGTTTAGGGTTTAGGGTTTAGGGTTTCGGGTTTAGGGTTTCGGGTTTAGGGTTTAGGGTTTAGGGTTTAGGGTTTAGGGCAGCAGTTCCAACGCCACCTTCCTTGTCTTTCGTAGGGTGCTGAGGAGATCCTGCTGCTGCAGGGGCAGTTTAGGGTCCTTCGCCCCGCGGCCCTTGTTCCTAGACCCTGTAACCATGTTTGGCCCTAATACTGTTTAGGGTTTAGGGTTTAGGGCTAGGGTTTAGGGCTAGGGTTTAGGGTTTAGGGTTTAGTGTTTAGGGTTTACGGTTTAGGGTGTAGGGTTTAGAGCCATGTCGCTCAGGATGTTTTTGTTGCTCAGTTTGGTTCATGAGCACAGTTGGGCGGCCCGAGCATGCAACGGGAATATGACAAGCTCCATCTTGCGGCAAGCTTTCTCTGAGTGGGTTTGTGCCAAGCAAGAAATAGAGGGGTCGGAAAAAAAAATCTACTATGCCTATTATGGTCCCTAAATTCCCCTATGGTACCTAGAATAAATACACTAGAATAGCCCCCAAACACCCTAAACCCTAAACACCCTATTCTAAAAGTTCAGGCCCCTTTTTCAGACACCCTTTGCCACCAGCCTCTCGTCCCTGATGGCAGCTTGTCGCATGCGCGGCCACAGAGGCCATGGGCGCCAAATGCACAGGCTGGGTGAAACCCTAAACCCTATAGCCCTAAGCCCTAAACCCTAAACCCTAAACCTTAACCCGAAACCCTAAACCCTAAACCCTAAAGCCTATCGCCCTAAAACCTAAACCCTAAAGCGCAGGCTTGGTGCTCCTTCTGTGCCTCTTGTGGCCGACTTGCTGTGATGGAGGCGGTGTTGGCAATGTGCAGTTCCTTGGACCCAAGTAACCCTAAAAAGGTTTGGGGTTTAGGGTTTATAGGGTTTAGGGTTTAGGGTTTAGGGTTTAGGTTCATAGACCTTAAATAGGACTTAGAGTAGTTTTGGATAGACGACCCCAAATTAACGGTTCGTTTGGCCCCCAAGGTTTACAGACATTGACACGGATGAGTACATGATCGAAGGGGTCATCTCTTGGGATCCGCCTGCGGATGAAGCCTCCGTACTTCATTACGCGGTGTGGGTTTCCCACGAGAAGGACTTCCAGGGGAGGGAGGGGGGGGTTCAGGGGGGGGGGGGGGGGGGTAACCCATGCTTCCCTATGTAACCCATGCTTCCCTATAATACTCCCTACTACTCCCTCTAAGCTTCCCTAAGGTTCCCTAGGTACCTACCCCCCTTGATCCCCCCCCTCCCCTTAAGAGCCCTATAAAAGGACAAAGAGCATCTACCCGCCATCCAGTTCCTCGCCATGAAAGTCCCGTACAACTCCAGCACAGACCCTGTGGAATACCACGTGCCCGTCGGCACAAACCAAGTCACTTTGGAGAACACCGCTCGAGACTTGCAGTTTGGGTTCTACGGAACCTAGGTTGGACTTTACTACAACTTTGCCACTTTTTCAGTTGTGGGGTTCCTCTAATTTCATATTCACAGGGAGCAAAAACTGATACTTTTATTGGGGCAGTTAAAGAGCAGCCAAGGAACGTGGATCATGGTGCTGGCCAATCGGGATGGCGTTGATATGGAAACTAGCACCCGGAGTGGGCTCGGATTTCCTTTTTTGTTTAAGGTTAGGGTTCCTTTAGAATCTTCTTAAAACCAAACAGGGTACCCTTTTTGTTCCTAGGTTACTCCTGGGTCTAGGAAACCACCTTCGAAGAAGCTGGTTACGCGGCAATTTACGATTCCTCGCCCCACGAACTAGGAGATGTCGTCGTGGCAAACATCGCGTTCACGGACGAAGATTATCTTGAGAATTTCATTGGAGGGACTGTCACTTGGCAGCGCAGCTCTACGCAGGACTACGGCTTTGTGTCCGAGTTTCATGTGTACTTGGCAGATGACGCAGCAGGCACCAATGAGAGGTTTCTTGGATCTGTGGAAGCGATGCTTTTTACCTATGTGATCGCAAATGGCACAGCCGCCACCGAACGCTACATCTTGGTATACGCTTCAAACCCCAATGGTCGTGCCACTGCAGCCGCATCAGCCACGTTCTCGGACTGGATTTGGACACCTCCTTTCACGATTACATCCACATCCACGTTCACGCGCACGAGCTCAACAACCACATCAACAACATCTTCACACACCCGAACATCATCCGCAACATCCACGACTTCTGAAACTTTCACCCAGACGTCAACCTCACAGTCTATCTCTTCCACAGTCACGGCATCGACCACCTCAGCCACCTCCTCCACCACATCTGCATCCGCCACGGCTACATCATCTTCTTCGAGCTCGCGCTCCTCATCTACGTCGAGCACAACTTCCACTTCCTCCTCTACATCAGCAAGCTCTACTTCGACGTCGACGTCCTCTTCGACAACTTCCTCAAGCAGTAGCTCCACATCGTCAACCACTTCCTCCACGAGCTCCACATCGTCCTCAACTAGCTCCTCGTCATCTTCCACGTCTACTTCTTCAGCTAGCTCCACAAGTACAACAACATCCACCTCCACATCCTCAACAAGCTCTTCCACCAGCTCGAGCTCCACAAGCACTGCGTCATCCACAACAAGCACTACATCAACATCGACGACATCAACGAGCACAAGCAGCAGTAGCTCGACCAGTACCACCACCAGCACCACATCTGCCAGCACTACAAGTACGTCTTCAACAACCTCAACAACTACATCAACATCGACGACATCAACGAGCACAAGCAGCAGTAGCTCGACAAGCACAAGCACGAGCACAGCAACTACAAGCACGTCCGGCACATCCACGTCAAGTTCAACGACGACGTCAACATCGAGGACATCTACAAGCACCAGCGCGACCAGCTCGACCAGCAGCAGCACCAGCACAACATCTACAAGCACCGCAAGCACATCAACGTCAACCTCAACCACTACATCAAGTTCGACCACATCAACAAGCACACGAAGCAGTAGTTCGACTAGCACAAGCGCCAGCAGCACCAGCTCCAGCAGCACCAGTTCCAGCACAACGTCGACGAGTATCAGCAGCACTTCTTCCTCCAGCTCGAGTTCGACCAGCTCCTCTTCCACAACATCTACTTCCTCAACTACCACAACAAGAAGCACAACACCAACCACCACCTCCACGACATCGTCAACGAGCACGTCCAGCACAACGACATCTTCAACCTCCAGCACATCAACAAGTACCACCAGCACCTCAACGTCTAGCAGTACAACATCATCCAGTTCGACTACCGCGTCCTCGACGACTCAGACTGCAACAGCCTCGACATCTTCCACAACAACCACGAGCGCAACAGTGTCGTCCACAAACACGCTGACGAGCAGCACGTCCACGTCAACGAGCACTGCATCCTCAACCACTTCGACATCGACATCGGCCACCAGCAGCAGTACTACAAGCTCGTCTACATCCAGCTCGTCTTCGTCCTCTTCTAGATCGAGCACAAGCACCTCGTCCACGTCCTCTAGCACGTCGACCTCGTCAACTTCCAGCTCCACATCATCTACCACATCTACCACATCTACCTCAAGCAGTAGCTCCACATCGTCAACAACTTCCTCCACGAGCTCCACATCGTCCTCAACTAGCTCCTCGTCATCTTCCACGTCTACTTCTTCAGCTAGCTCCACAAGTACAACAACATCCACCTCCACATCCTCAACAAGCTCTTCCACCAGCTCGAGCTCCACAAGCACTGCGTCATCCACAACAAGCACTACATCAACATCGACGACATCAACGAGCACAAGCAGCAGTAGCTCGACCAGTACCACCACCAGCACAACATCTACAAGCACAACAAGTACATCTTCAAAGACCTCAACAACTACATCAACATCGACGACATCAACGAGCACAAGCAGCAGTAGCTCGACCAGTACTGCCACCAGCACAACATCTACAAGCACTACAAGTGCATCTTCAACCACCTCAACAACTACATCAATGTCGACGACATCAACGAGCACAAGCAGCAGTAGCTCGACCAGTACCACCACCAGCACAACATCTACAAGCACTACAAGTACATCTTCAACAACCTCAACAACCACATCAGCATCGACGACATCAGTGAGCACGAGCAGCACCAGCTCGACAAGCACAAGCACGAGCACAACATCTACAAGCACGTCCGCCACATCCACGTCAACCTCAACGACGACGTCAACTTCGAGGACATCTACAAGCACCAGCGCGACCAGCTCGACCAGCAGCAGCACCAGCACAACATCTACAAGCAGTACAAGCACATCGACGTCAACCTCAACGACTACATCAAGTTCCACCACATCAACAAGCACACGAAGCAGTAGTTCGACTAGCACAAGCGCCAGCAGCACCAGCTCCAGCAGCACCAGTTCCAGCACAACGTCGACGAGTATCAGCAGCACTTCTTCCTCCAGCTCGAGTTCGACCAGCTCCTCTTCCACAACATCTACTTCCTCAACTACCACAACAAGAAGCACAACATCAACCACCACCTCCACGACATCGTCAACGAGCACGTCCAGCACAACAACATCTTCGACCTCCAGCACATCAACAAGTACCACCAGCACCTCAACGTCTAGCAGCACAACATCATCCAGTTCGACTACTGCGTCCTCGACGACTCAGACTGCAACAGCCTCGACATCTTCCACAACAACCACGAGCGCAACAGTGTCGTCCACAAGCACGCTGACGAGCAGCACGTCCACGTCAACGAGCACTGCATCCTCAACCACTTCGACATCGACATCGGCCACCAGCAGCAGTACTACAAGCTCGTCTACATCCAGCTCGTCTTCGTCCTCTTCTAGATCGAGCACAAGCACCTCGTCCACGTCCTCTAGCACGTCGACCTCGTCAACTTCCAGCTCCACATCATCTACCACATCTACCACATCTACCTCAAGCAGTAGCTCCACATCGTCAACAACTTCCTCCACGAGCTCCACATCGTCCTCAACCAGCTCCTCGTCATCTTCCACGTCCACTTCTTCAGCTAGCTCCACAAGTACAACAACATCCACCTCCACATCCTCAACAAGCTCTTCCACCAGCTCGAGCTCCACAAGCACTGCGTCATCCACAACAAGCACTACATCAACATCGACGACATCAACGAGCACAAGCAGCAGTAGCTCGACCAGTACCACCACCAGCACAACATCTACAAGCACTACAAGTACATCTTCAACAACCTCAACAACTACATCAACATCGACGACATCAGTGAGCACGAGCAGCAGCAGCTCGACAAGCACAAGCACGAGCACAACATCTACAAGCAGTACAAGTGCATCTTCAACCACCTCAACCACTACATCAACATCGACGACATCAACGAGCACAAGCAGCACCAGCACGACCAGCTCGACCAGCAGCAGCACCAGTACAACATCTACAAGCAGTACAAGCACATCGACGTCAACCTCAACGACTACATCAAGTTCCACCACATCAACAAGCACACGAAGCAGTAGTTCGACTAGCACAAGCGCCAGCAGCACCAGCTCCAGCAGCACCAGTTCCAGCACAGCGTCGACAAGTATCAGCAGCACTTCTTCCTCCAGCTCGAGTTCGACCAGCTCCTCGTCCACAACATCTACTTCCTCAACTACTACAACAAGAAGCACAACATCATCCACCACCTCCACGACATCGTCAACGAGCACGTCCAGCACAACAACATCTTCGACCTCCAGCACATCAACAAGTACCACCAGCACCTCAATGTCTAGCAGTACAACATCATCCAGTTCGACTACCACGTCCTCGACGTCTCAGAGTTCAACATCTTCCACATCTTCCACAAGCACCACCTCCTCATCCAGCACATCGTCTTCAACTTCTTCCACAACAACCACGAGCGCAACAGTGTCGTCCACAAGCACGCTGACGAGCAGCACGTCTACGTCAACGAGCACCGCATCCTCAACCACTTCGACATCGACATCGGCCACCAGCAGCAGTACTACAATCTCGTCTACATCCAGCTCGTCTTCGTCCTCTTCTACATCGAGCACAAGCACCTCGTCCACGTCCTCTAGCACGTCGACCTCGTCAACTTCCAGCTCCACATCATCTACCACATCTACCACATCTACCTCAAGCAGTAGCTCCACATCGTCAACAACTTCCTCCACGAGCTCCACATCGTCCTCAACCAGCTCCTCGTCATCTTCCACGTCTACTTCTTCAGCTAGCTCCACAAGTACAACAACATCCACCTCCACATCCTCAACAAGCTCTTCCACCAGCTCGAGCTCCACAAGCACTGCGTCATCCACAACAAGCACTACATCAACATCGACGACATCAACGAGCACAAGCAGCGGTAGCTCGACCAGTACCACCACCAGCACCACATCTACCAGCACAACAAGTACATCTTCAACGACCTCAACAACTACCTCAACATCGACGACTTCAACGAGCACAAGCAGCAGTAGCTCGACAAGCACAAGCACGAGCACAACAACTACAAGCACGTCCGGCACATCCACGTCAAGTTCAACGACGACGTCAACATCGAGGACATCTACAAGCACCAGCGCGACCAGCTCGACCAGCAGCAGCACCAGCACAACATCTACAAGCACTGCAAGCACATCAACATCAACCTCAACCACTACATCAAGTTCGACCACATCAACAAGCACGCGAAGCAGTAGTTCGACTAGCACAAGCGCCAGCAGCAGCAGCTCCAGCAGTACCAGCTCCAGCACAACGTCGACGAGTATCAGCAGCACTTCTTCCTCCAGCTCGAGTTCGACCAGCTCCTCGTCTACAACATCTACCTCCTCAACTACCACAACAAGAAGCACCACTTCAACAGCCTCAACTTCCAGCACAACCTCCAGCACTACCTCGTCAACATCAACAGCAACGTCATCGACGAGTAGCTCCACAATTTCCTTCTCTTCTACTTCTGCGAGCTCCACGACATCAAGTTCTTCGAGCTCCACCACTTCCTCCGGCACTGCCACGAGTAGCACGTCCACATCCTCAACAACTTCGTCCCGAAGCTCGACGAGGTCCCTCACTTCTAGCACGTCGTCCTCTACCTCTTACTCCTCGTCCTCATCCGTCTCGCACACATCGTCAACGTCCTCCACCTACAGCCAGACAAGCACAACATCCACGAACTCAGTGGCTTCAACTCTGTTGGGAACCTCACTTAGCCAAGAGTTGAACTTTAACCCTTTTTGGGTTTCCTTATTCTGTAGGAATCATAAAAGTTCATCCTCTTGTTTTTTCCCTCAAGGTTATTGGAGAAATTAAGGAACTGAGCCTGCATCAATGGCAGGGGCTGCTGCAGCTGCATCGCTTGCAGCCGTGGCTCTCTTGGGTGCTGCGGCAGTGCCATTGTACAGCTACCGCAGACGAAGGCTTGAGATCAACATCGAGCCAGACGAGAAGCCAGTCGTGGGCTACGAAATCAGCTACCGAGAGATGTGGAGCGTGTCGCGGCCGGCCGCCACCCCTTGTGAGGTGCGCGAGTGCTGGACAGAGGAGTCCGCTCGACCGGCCGCAACCGTGAGAGAGCTCAAGAAGTCACGCACAGCCCAACCGAGGCTCGTCGTGGAAGACGTGGAAGACGAATCTGGTGACTTACCAAGCAAAGCTCAGCGGAGCAACGCAGAGCAGGTGCGGGCTTTCCGCCTCGATCGACTTGCAACATTTGCGACCGAGGGGACTGATGGGACCACACTGCCCTCTCAGCGTCCTAGCAGCCCAGTGGTACCCTAAACCCTAAACCCTAAACCCTAAACCCTTTTGCCCTTTCTGCTGGTCCAAGTTTCCCATTCATATAAAGTACCCAACCCCCAAAATGGGTACCCAACTTGGGTGTCCTTATTCATTGTTATTAATCTGGTTACTGGGGGTACCAAGGCTATTGGCCTCTCCAAAGGACATGCCAGCTGCTTCGGCCAATGCCGTTGCAATGCGAGAGCGCACGCGCAGCCGCCTGCACCGCTTGGACACCGCGTCCAGCGAAGCGCTCGCGCCTCCAAAGGAGGTTGCTTGGTCATAGTTGGGTAAGATTTTACATTTTTTAAGGGTACTTAAACCCAATAAGCAATAAACGTGTATATTTTTAAGGGTACTTAAACCCAATAAGGAATAAAAGTGGAAATTTTTAATCTTATCCCAACCATGAACTAGGTTGGTGGAGCGACTCCACAGAGCCTCTTCGCAGGCACGCGGAATAAGTCGGAGCTCATGAACCCCAACAACTGGCATGTTCCGAGCCAGGAGATGATGCAGGTGACGACTCCTGCGGCCGCCGTGGCACAGTGTCGGCGCCGGAAGTGATGCCGAATGGGCCCGGACGAGCACATCAAGCACGTGGGGTTTGGAAATCCGACCTAGGAAGAAGAAGAAGAAGAAGAAGTAGCAGTAGTAGTAGGAGGGTGCTCCCTCTGGTCCCGGAGCTAATGCTCTGTGCACCCTTCTGGGAACGAAAAGAGCACATGCGCGAAGGTGGTATCTGCTTCTTCGCCTTTGCTTTGTTTATGTTAAAGTTTAAGCATTTTTGGCAGTGCAGCATGGCAGACGTCAGATCATACCTTATCTTGTCTCTATAGAGAGGTTCTCTCGCGGGCTTGCCTAGGCGGACCTAAACATATCTTGGACGGATTCAAGACGCTCTGTTACGCATCATGCTTCCAGGAGGGCCGCAACAAATGAGTAAAGGGCTCCTTCGCAACCACTTCCAGGTTTACAGGTTATCGCAACAATATCCCTTATCATAGGCTTCTTGCAGGTAACCTACCAAAAAGGTACGACTTGTCATAGGGTTCTTACAGGTAACCTACAAGAAGGGGAGGACTTATCATAGGATTCTTGCAGGTAACCTACCAGAAACGGCGGACTTATCATAGGATTCTTACAGGTAGCCAACCAAAAAGGCCGCGTGCCAATATTAATTGCTTGTAACAGGGCCGCGGCCCGCACACGCGACATACCCCGTTACAGAGGGTATGTATCAACGGCCGGGGTTTTGCGACAGACCTGTTTGTTGTTGTCTGCAGGTTCCAAGTCTTGCTTATCGGGGGGTAAGTGTTCGTAAGTTTCAAGAAGCAAGTATATATGTAACACTGAATTTTAAACCCCCTTAAACCCTTAAAGGCTGCGTATGTGGGGTGGTTCTAAGTCTTGCTTATCGGGGGGTAAGTGTTCGTAAGTTTCAAGAAGCAAATATATATGCAACACTGAATTTTAAACCCCCTTAAACCCTGAAAGGCTGCGTATGTGGGGTTTCTAAGTCTTGCTTATCGGGGGGTAAGTGTTCGTAAGTTTCAAGAAGCAAATATATATGTAACCCTGAATTTTAAACCCCCTTAAACCCTTAAAGGCTGCGTATGTGGGGTGGTTCTAAGTCTTGCTTATCGGGGGGTAAGTGTTCGTAAGTTTCAAGAAGCAAATATATATGCAACACTGAATTTTAAACCCCCTTAAACCCTTAAAGGCTGCGTATGTGGGGTTTCTAAGTCTTGCTTATCGGGGGGTAAGTGTTCGTAAGTTTCAAGAAGCAAATATATATGTAACCCTGAATTTTAAACCCCCTTAAACCCTTAAAGGCTGCGTATGTGGGGTGGTTCTAAGTCTTGCTTATCGGGGGGTAAGTGTTCGTAAATTTCAAGAAGCAAATATATATGTAACCCTGAATTTTAAACCCCCTTAAACCCTTCAGGCTGCGTATGTGGGGTGGTTCTAAGTCGTGCTTATCGGGGGGTAAGTGTTCGTAAATTTCAAGAAGCTGTGAGGGTTCCAGGTCTTGCTTGTCGCGGCCAACCCCACTCGGTCCTCAACAGGGGGACGCTCCAGGCTTTCGGCAAGACACCCCCGAAGCCTGAAACCCCGAAATCTCCAAAAATCTGTGCTCATGCCTCCCGGCGCGCGACATACCCCGTTACAAGTGCGTTACATACCCGCGACAGACCAAACACAGTCCATTGCGACATCTGCGTAAGCAACGTGCGCCCCAAGTAGACGCATTATCGTCCTACCCCAATGCGCCCTGAGACCCTTTTTTAGTGCATGAATATAATATAATAGAATATAATATCATATAATATAATATAATATAGTAATATATATATATATATCTATTATAATATAGCATGATACGAACGTGCGCGCGACAGAGGTCTGTAACTAGCCGGGCGTTACAGAGGTCTGTAACAGGTGGGCGCGGGCGCGGGCCGCGACAACCGGGGGTTTAGGCACACAGCCAAAAGAGTAGGCTTTGGGTGCATTAAGGTTTGTCTTGGAACGATTGGACCCGACTTGTATTCAGGGTCTGGTTTTTTGTGTATGTGGCTGCATCACCTTAGAGGTTCTGAAGGGAGGAGGTTTAGGGGTTGAGGGTTGAGGGTTTAGGGTCCTTAAGGGAGAGGGGGGGGGGTTCATGGCGGGTCGGTACCTCAGGAACCTTAGGGAAGCTTAGGGAGCCTTAGGGGATCTTCGGGGCAAGTGGGGAGCAATATGGAACCTTGGGTTACATACCGCCCTTCAACCCCCCTCCCCTATTTAGAACCCTATATATAGCTGGCAGATCTAGCGGTTGTCTGCTAGTAGGAGGCTTCATAAAGGCGCAGTCGACGGTTTGACACACTTCGTCACCTTGCAGTGCGCCCTGAGTGTCAGGAACCCTGAACCCTAACCTTTAAACCCTGAACCCCACCTGCCCTGCCCCGAACCTTCGAAAATCCTAGGGTGGTGGCTCGGCCTCGTGGCCGCGTGCACTGTGCCTGGGCTTTGAAACTCAGCCTGTTGAGGGTTTAGGGTTTAGGGGTTCGTTTCGGGGTTCTGCCCTCGGCAAGAAGGGGGTCAGTAGATGCGCAGCAGGAGAGACCTTTCAGCAGACTTCAACGCCTGTTAAGGGTGAGTAAATTGGGGTTTGCGTGTGTGCTGCAGGAGCAGTGTGTGCTGGTTAGGGTAGTCGCTGCATGAGGGACGGCTTCGGGTTTTGCGCTTTGGCGGAGGAGGGTGGGTTTGTCAGGAAGGCGAGGATAGGCGGGCGTCTGGCAGTTAGCAAGTCCAGCTTCAATAGGGTTTAGGGTTTAGGGTTTAGGGTTTAGGGTTTAGGGTTTAGGGTTTAGGGTTTAGGGTTTAGGGTGTCGGCAGGGTTTTTTTCTTCTGACTTTTACCAGGCATTGGGAGCCCTGGTGCACAGGGGTTTAGGGTTTGTTCGCAGCTTGCATTTCCCTAACCCTAAACCCTAAACCCTAAACCCTAAACCCTGAACCCTAAACCCTAAACCCTAAACCCTATCTTTGTCGGAGCTCGCGCCATCCCCCAGAAATGCTCAACCACGCGCAGCGGGCCTCATCGCAATGCGAAGCGCATGTCTCCAGAGCTCAGTGTGAAGCACTGGGCTCTGCAGATCGATGTTTAGGGTTTAGGGTTTAGGGTTTAGGGTTTAGGGTTTAGGGTCATCATAACCATACTACGAATGTCATTGTGATCGTGATTCAACGGAAGGGGGTCCAACATCTTTTCTCATTTCTTAGGCCACCTTTCCCCTCGATTTCACCCTCCCATTCTCACGTGGCTGCTGGCAAGTGAGCTCGGGCTTTGGAACCCCTGAACTTGGGATGTTCCCCCTTATACTAGCAGTCCTGAATTGGGACTGTAATCCCTATTAGGCTATTAGGGACTGTGAGTAGAAGGAAAAACATCCCAACCCTAAACCTCAAAGGGAACTCTCGGAATGGAGATCAGTATAGGTCTCAGAGTTTAAAAGCCATCCTAACCCCCCCCCCCCCTCCACGAAGGCCATAAAGAATCATCATTGCACGCTATTCTGCAGGTTTGAGAATTCCTCTTTGATGATCACAGAAATTATGCCAGCTTAGTCCAAGCACTCCGGCAGAGCTCCCCCGGCGAGCGCCTCCGCCCTAGGCGAGAGTGCGATGTTCGTCCCACACGCGAGCAGCCTTTGAGAACAACTTATTGTTCACAGCGAGTGCGCCCGTGGCTTCATCGAACTACTCCTGCTTGCTCTTCACGTAGGAACCCCTTCGTGTCGACACATTGTTTTGGGGAAGGCATTGTATTATAATTATTAGAATCGCTGGCCCTGAAGTGCGGCCTCGCGGAAGGAACGAAAAGCCTTCAACCCAGAATCAAGGCCCTAAAGGAAAGCCAGTTCGAGGAAAGCCCGTTTCTTCAAAACCCGAAGAACGTGCGACATTCCCTGCGGTGCGACTGTCAGTCAGCTAACCCTATAAACCCTGTAAACCCTAATTATACACCCTACAAACCCTACAAAC